TGCAGATCATTTGAAGTCAGGAGCTCGAGACCAGCCTGGCCAACATAGCGAAACCCCATTTCTACTAAAAATACTAAAATTAGCCAGGTGTGGTGGCGCATGCCTATAATCCTAGTTACTTGGGAGGCTGAGGCAGGAGAATTGCTTGAACCCTGGAGGCAGAGGTTGCAGTGAGCCAAGACTGTGCCACTGTATTCCAGCATGAATGACAGAGCGAGATTCCATTTCAAAAAAATAAAGCAAAGGCATACCTCAAATAATAGATAAAATTAAGAATTAAGAATTCCTCTTTCAGAAGTTTGGGGAGAGAACAAAATTGTCTCCTCACTACAATATGAGTCACACTGACTACACAGACACGTAAGAAATAATGGTGTCAGGACAGCTTATGTGTCTTGGCCACCTCCAAGGTCAGTCCAGAGGCTATAGAGAGGGTGGCCCTATGTCACTTGTCCAGGACAGTCTAGGCAGACACCTGTTTCCCAGCACAGTTATCCATAGAGCTCCCTTTCAATCTTGAAAGCATCCTGGCCTAGATGATAAATGATATGTACTAGCTCAAAGCCCAAAGTGTCCTTAAACTATTTGTCTCTTAACACATCAGTGACTTCCTTTAAGACCTCCTGGAGTGAGCTGAATGGTGGCCCCAAAAATATCAGAGCTCAATCCCTGGAACCTGTAAATGTTACCTTTATTTGGAAAGAGGGTTTTTGCAGATGTGATGACATTGAGGATCCTGAGATGGCGAGATTATCCTGGATTATTCAGGTGAGCCCTAGATGCTACCTCATGTATCCTTTAAAGAGAGATGCCAGGTGTGGTGGTCATGCTTTTAATCCTAACACTTTGGAAGGTCAAGGCAGGAGGATCTCTTGAGCCCAGGAATTCGAGACCAGCCTGGGCAACATAGTGAGACACGCCTTTACAAAAAGCAAAAAATATTAGCCAGGTGTGGTGGTGTGCACCTGTAGTCCCAGCTACTTGGGAGGTTGCGGTGGGAGGATCACTTGAGCCCAGAAGTTTGAGGCTGCAGTGAGCTAAGATTGTGCCACCGTACTTCAGCCTGGGTGACGAAGTGAGACTCTGTCTCTAAAAAGAAAATTGAAAATGAGAGAGTGAGCGAGAGATCTGATGGAGACAAAAGACGAGGCCATGCGCAGTTTCCAGCAGAGATTAGAGTGATGTGGCCTCAAGGCTGGCAGTCACCAGGAGCTGAAAGAGGCAAGGAAGGAGGAGCCTCCCCTGAAGCCTCCAAAAGGAATATTCCTCTGCCAACACCTTGATGTTGGACTTCTGGCCTCTAGCACTTAAGAGAACATATTTCTGTTGTTTTAAGTCACCCAGTTTGTGGTAATTTGTTATAACAGTGCTAGGAAACTAATACACCCCACTGTGATTACTTCTTTCCTAGCTGTGTTCTCTAACGAGAAACCACACGACTTCCTAAGCCACTACACACACTGTCTCTCAAATGTTACCAGTGGCCCTGCTTATGTGTGGTTGATGATGAAAGACCTCTCTTCCATCAGCAGTTAAGCTCAGAAAGTCATGGAATTGTCTGACTGGGATAAAAAATTAAAAGCAGCTACAATGTTATTACCAAGAAACACACTTACAGCAAAGTGATTAAAGAAAGGGTAGAAGAAAGAAAATAAACATGTTTTCACAACGGGCCAAAATGGAAAACACATTTAACTGTCTAACATCGGGAAAACTGCTACTAGCTAGTTAGACAACACAGTTTCACAAAACGGTTAAAGCCGGCTAGGTGCGGGGCCTCATGCCTGTAATCCCAGCACTTTGGGAGGCTGAGGTGGGCAGATCACTTGAGGCCAGGAGTTCGAGACCAGCCTGGCCCACATGGTGAAACCCGTCTCTACTAAAAATACAAAAAATTAGCCAGGCGTCGTGGTGCATGCTTCCCAGCTACTTGAGAGGCTGAGGCAGGAGAATCCTTAAACCTGGGAGGCAGAAGTTGCAGTGAGCCAAGACGGCGCCACTGCACTCCAGCCTGGGCAACAAGAGCGAAATTCCATCTCAAACAAAACAAAAAAACAACAGTTATAGCCACTGCAGTTCCAGAAATCCATAGGACTCTTCTTGTTAGCGGTGGCTGGGAGCACTACGCGCAACTAGGGGATGGAGGCTGGACTGCATCACACCTCCTACAATAGAAGGAGTGGTGAAAAAACAGTGCTAGTTTTTCCAACTCAAATAAGAAAACATTTTGAAAATACAACTTTGTAAAAAGAGGTCACCACAAATCAGATATGTGCTAACAAAATTGTAGAACTTCCAATATTTTATCACTTAAAGAGGAACATGGGGTTACAAATCACCTAACAGTGGAGGAGGGCATGTATAATGATAAAAGGAGTAATTTTCTAAAGAAGTTACAATATATTCAATATCTTAGGGCCAAATACAAAATATAAAATCTACTGAGAGTGAAAGAGCTTGATTAAAAATACAGCTATAGGCTGGGTGGTGGCTCACGCCTGTAATCCCAGCACTTTGGGAGGCCAAGGCGGGCAGATCACTTGAGGTCAGGAGTTCAAGATTAGCCTGGCCAGCATGGTGAAACCCTGTCTCTACCAAAAATACAAAGATTAGTCAGGCGTGGTGGTGCACACCTGTAGTCCCAGCTACTCAGGAGGCTGAGGCAGGAGGATCGCTTGAGCCTGGGAGGCGGAGGTTGCAGTGAGCTGAGATTGTGCTACTGCACTTCAGCCTGGGCAACAGAGTGAGATTCCGTCTCAAAAACAAACAAACAAACAAACAACAAAAAACCAGCTACAATGTGAGAATTTACTAAACCACAAGGAAGGAAGAAATAATGGCAGAAGAAATAATGGCAGAAAACTAGGTCTTCTATGACATGGACAAGGAGAAAGATGCTAAACAATCCTGTGGAAACATACAGATGGGAAGAATAGCTAGGACAACAGATTATACCAATGGGACAAAATTAGAAAATTGAAACTTAACAGCTAAAAATACACATAAAACTCTAGAATCAAGTTTAAAATAAAAGGAGCTATACGAATAGCTAGTGGGAGGATACAGCTTCATAGCAGTGCATGTGACCTAAGGTTTTGGCTGCCCAAGGTCAAGTTTAGATCATAAACACACACACACACACACACACGCACACGCACACACACACACACACACAAAATCTATCAGTGGTCTAATACAGTGGTTGGCAAACTGTGGCCTATAGGCCAAATCCAGCTAGCCACCAGCCACCAGTCACTTGTTTTGGTACTGCTTGTGAGTTAATAATGGCTTTCACATGTTTAAATGGTTGAAAAAAATTCAAAATAATATTTCAAGGCACGTGAAAATAATATGAAATTCACATTTCAGTGTCCATAAATAAAGTTTTATTGGAACACAACCATACCCATTCATTTACATATTGTCTATTGCTCTTTTTGAAGTACAACCAGAGTTGAGTAGTTGCAGCAGAGACCATATAGCCATTTACAGATAAAAGATGTGGACCCTTCTAATTAGATTTTAGGTGAGAAATTAACTCATTGGCCATCTTCAAGACAGGGAATGGAAACCATGACTTGAGGAGGCTGGGATTAAAATTCAGGGGGACTTTGGTATATGAATTCAAATTTATAAAGGGATTTTTTTCAAATATGAGGGGATCTTGTGTGCTACTTCAGAAATCTGTGTTGTTTCAGAAGTGAATTATGGAGATAAAAAGCAGCATATTAGGGAAAACTTCTCTTGCACTGAGTTACCAAATCAGGGAACAGTAGTGTGTCTTGCAAACTGGCAGGATTCTCTGAGCCCAGCTGAACATCTATCTATCCATAAATTATGGAACGTACAACAGCTGGGAATTGACCACTGTAGTAGGTCAAACAATATCCCCCTAAAACTCATGTCCACCCACAACTTCGGCATGTGCCCTCATTTTGGAAATAGGGTCTCTGCAAATATAACCAATGTAAAGATGAAGTTGAGTTCATTCTGGATTAGGTTAGGCCTGAAATCCAATGACAGTGTCCTTATAAGAAACAGAGAAGAGACACAGGGAAGAGGCCAGGTGAAGAGAGAGGCAGAGACCAGAGTGATGTAGCCACAGCCAAGGAATGCAAGGAGACACCAGAAGTTAGAAGAAGTGAGGAAGCATCCTCCCTTACAGACTTCAGAGGGAGCGTGCCCCTGTCCATTCCTTGATTTCACACTTCTGGGCCTCTGAAACTGTGAGGGAAAAATGTCTGCTCTTTTAAGCCACGCAGTTTGTGTAATTTCTTATGACAGCCCTAGAAAACTAATACAATCTCCTTCAAAGTTCTTCTCAACCTCCGATTTCTCTGTTGCTCTCAAAGGCAAAGGCCAATCAAATTTTCTTCAATTTTTTTCTAAAGACTCACAGAGCCTCCTCTGATGCTAATGTTGTGGAAAACATAATTCAATGATACTATTTCTACTCTTTTTAAAAGGTTAAAAAGAGATCATGGGTTTTTTTTTTAATTCAACTTCTTATTTTGGGGGAATTGTAGATTGACATGCAGTTGTATAAAACAACGCAGAGATCCTGTGAACCTTTTACCCAGTTCCCTGTGGTAACCTCTTGTAAAACTATAACACAGTATCACAGCCAGGACCCTGAAATTGATACAACCCAGTGATCTGATTCAGATATGCTCCAGTTTGACTTGTACTCTTATGCATGTGTGTGTGTGTATTTAGTTCTATCTACCACCACAAAGACATACAACAATTTCATTATAACAAGGACAATAATGGTATTTTAATACCTGCAAAAATATGCATTACCTGTTTATTTGAATATTAACGTCAGGGTAGGTTCAAAGCCAAACCTTCAACAAACGAAATGAGGAAGCATATTTACTTGATCATCAAAGGAAAAAGCCAATATTTTCCAGATAATTCTAATCAAATGGATAAATGAGGAAAAACAACATTGACAGTGGCCCAGAGCAGGTTTCTAGGGCAGGACACACCTCTCCTACCTTGTCCTTTTTATCTTGTCGGGCATATGGGAAACACGGGATCACAGCAGTCACCCTGGATGATGACGCGATCTTGCAGGCATTGATCATGATAAGGAGCTCCATCAGGTTGTCGTTAATTTCCCCGCAGCCACTCTGGATGATGTAGACATCTTCCCCTCTCACACTTTCACCAATCTCCACGCTAGGAAAAGAAAACTGCCATCGGTTAATATTGAAGCATATTTGCATCTTGGGCATCCCTGAGACCACCCCCAGGTTTGGTGATCACCAGGATGACTTATAGGACTCAGCCTAATAGTTGCACTCATGGCTGTGATTTATTGCAGGGAAAGGACACAGAGCAAACTCAGCAAAGGGAAAAGGTGCATAGGGTGAAGATGGGGGAAAGAGGGTGCAAGCTTCCAAGACTCCTCCCCAAGGGGAGTCAGAGGTAGAGCTTAATGCCCCAGTAGTGAGCTGTGACAACACGTGTGAAGGGCTCTCTACCAGGGAAGCTGCTTAGAGACTCAAGTCTCTAAGGGTTTGTATTGTGGGCTGGTCATATAAGCACCCTCTGCCTAGCACATACCAAAATGTCAGACTCACAGGCATTCAGCATGAACCACATTGTTTATCAATTGTTTAAGAGTTTATGCAGTGAGCCATTCTTACTGGGAAACGGTGGGTACCCTTGCAAAATCTAAGCTCCCAGAGGCCAGCCAAGGGCCAACCTTGCAAACAGGCCTAAGTCTCAGGCCTGCTATGTTAACTCTTTTCTGCAAAATACTGTATTTAGTTTTAGTTTTTTATTAAAGTTATACAGTCATATTGCTTAAAAAATTCAAACCATTCTGTAAGACTTATAACAGAGAAAGTGCCCAGAGGCCACCAATTTCAACTCTTGATAGGGTTTTTAGATATTTTCCTTCAAGTCTAGCTAATATGTGTGTATTGCTGTGTCTTGATTTTTCATTTTAGGCAAAGTGTATTGACTTCTCACTATGGAAGATGAGGATTGAACTCTATTTCCATTCAGTTCCATCACTTGCAATGCAAACTTCCCATCTCGCCATCGTCCCAATATAGATCAATATACACATTAAAGATTGACTCTACGTTTTTAACTGCACAAATGCTGCTCAGAGCTCTGCCATGCAATAAACTTAAACGAATGTTTATATTTTCTTTTCATGCACATCTTTTCTTTCTATTTTCCCTGGAGGTCATTCTCTTACCTTTTTATCTGCTAAGTTTTCTGAATCCTGAATCCAGATTCCACCCTAAACCCTTCACTAACAATCAAAATCTCCCAAGGTCAGAGGCCTCAAGTCCCATCTGCATTTCATCATCTTGCAGGCATCCCTCCCAGGGGTGGCAGGCCTGGGTTATCTCTCTGCCTGTGCACAGCTGCCATCCGGGGATCCCCTGCCCCCTCTCCTGCACTCCATTTGCCATTTTCTGTATCCTCTTTCTTGGTATACTTCCTTGTTTTGCTGGTTGGCATCCTCACATAGCTTCTGGAGAAAGAGTAAATAGCAGCTACGTTTTTGAAAATTGCATGTCTGGAAGTTTCTGTATTTCCAGGTACAGAATTCTGGATGTCCAACATGAGAGGGAGAGCCAGCTCATTCCTGGTATATTCCTTTGGTGGAAAGAAACAGAAAATAGTGCTGTGTGCTCAGGCACGTCCTTCGCAGAGCTCTGCATCCAAACCAAGACGATGGTCAGCTCTGCTATGTTTTGAAAGGGGAAATTTCTTTCAATGATTGATATTATTTGGACCAACTTGAGCATAGCATGAATTTCGTGTCTTCTTATGCACAACCTCTTATCCCGAGACTGCAGAAAACTGCACTGCACCCAGATGAATGAAGCCACTTAGAAATACACAAACATACCCATGTACACACCTCAAGGACAACGAGCCACACTCATTCACATTTGGTGTCACAACTTTTCACGTCATTTCAGAGAACCCTAAACCTCAGGCATTTTTCAATGGAAAATCCCATCTCTGTCGTAGTATTTATGTAATTTTTTTTTTCTCACTTTGTTGCCCAGGCTGGAGTGCAGTGGTGACATCTCAGCTCACTGTAACCTCTGCCTCCCGGATTTAAGTGATTCTCCTGCCTCAGCCTCCCGAGTAGCTGGGATTACAGGTACACACCACCACGCCTGGCTAATTTTTGTATTTTTAGTAGAGACAGGTTTTGCCATGTTGGCCAGACTGGTTTCGAACTCCTGACCTCAAGTAATCCGCCCACCTCAGCCTCCCAAAGTGCTGGGATTACAGACGTGAGCCAATGCACCCAACCAATATTTTTTGAACATGTAATACATGTCAGTGTTTTATCATTTTGATAGGATCCCTAATCCGAAATTCTGAAATCTGAAACTTTGAGTGTCGACATCATGCTCAAAGGAAATGGTCATTGGAGCATTTTGTATTTTGGATTTTTGGAGATTTGGAATGCCCAACCAGTGAGTACAATAGAAATATTCCAAAATGCAAAAAAATAAAAATAAAAATTTAAAAATCTGAAATACTTGTTGTCCCAGGCATTTCTGATAAGGGATACTCAACCTGTATAACATTCCTATGATTTTTTAATGGGTCACTGAGGAAGTTTTTAAACATTATGTCCCTAACCCCATTTTTCTCATAAGCCCTGTGGTTTTGGATTGCCTGATTTTGCATAGCGTGGTAATTTTTAGGAATACATATGTCACGTTACAGCAGAATTGTCTGTAAATGTATTCATCCCAAAATGAAATATTTTAAAATTACAAATGAGGAACATGAATAATTATCCTTCTCCCTTCTCCTGCTATCAGATACTCAATACAATTGTTTTCTTAAAAGAGTCAAATAAGGTCGGGTGCAGTGGTTCACACCTGTAATCCCAGCACTTTGAGAGGCTGAGGTGGGCGGATTACCTGAGGTCTGGAGTTCTAGACCAGCCTGACTAACATGGAGAAACCCCATCTCTACTAAAAAATACAAAATTAGCCAGTGTGGTGGTGCATGCCTGTAATCCCACCTACTCAGGAGGCTGAGGCAGGAGAATCACTTGAACTCAGGAGGCGGAGGTTGCAGTGAGCCGGGATGGCACCATTGCACTCCAGCCTGGGCAACAAAAGTGAAACTCCGTCTGGAAAAAAAAAAAAAAAGAGCCAATTATACCTAATGAAAATTTAAAAACAGGCTGGGCATGGTGGCTCATGCCCATAGTCTCAGCTACTTGAGAGAGTGAGGCAAGGGGATTGTTTGAGCCCAGGAGTTCTAGTCCAGCCTGGGCAATGTAAGCAAGACCCCGTCTCTAAAAAAAATTTTAAAGGAAAATAAAAATAAAGTTTTTCAAGTTGACATGTTGTGAAAATTGTTTTGATAACATTCACACATCTTCTTGCATGCCTTCTACTATGGATGAAAATATGCCAACCTCACAGGATGAGAGGGACAGAAAGAGTTCTATGTGCTCCCTCCTATTTCAAGATCTAAGGAGCTAAATCTAACTGCTTTGTGAACATTACATCAACTATGAGATGAACTTAATTTGGAAATTGCTGTGGTTTAAATGTGTTCCCTAAAGTTCATGTGTTGAAAGCTTAATCCCCAGTATAGGAATATTGACAGGTGAGACCTTTAAGAGGTGATCAGGTCATGAGGGCTCTGTCCTCACAAATGGATTAACGTCATCATTGCTATAGTGTGCTCACTATCTTGAGAATGGGTTTATTATATTAGCAAGTTTGGCCCTCTTTCTGTCTCTCAAATGTGCTCTCTTGCCCTTCCACCCTTCTGCCATGGGATGATGCAGCAAGAATGCCCTTGCCAGATGCCAGCCCCTCAATATTGGACTTCCCAGCCTCCAGACCTATGAGAAATAAATTTCTTTTGTTTATAAATTAGCCAGTCTCCGGTATTCTGTTATAGCAGCACAAAATGAACTACAGCAGAAATCAAGTACAGTATTATATAGCTGAGAGGTCGACAAAACACAGCACACAGGCCGTTTTTCTATGGCCTGTGAGTTAAGAATGGCGTGGTGGGCAGAATAATGGCCCCCTAAAGATGTCTACATCCTAATCCTTTGAATATGTGAGTTTATATGGCAAAGGGGAAATAAGTTTGCAGATGGCATTCAGGTTGCTCACCAGCTGACCTTAACATGGGGAAATTATCCTGGATTATTTAAATTGGCCCATTGTAATCACAGGGCCCTTAAAAATGCAAGAGGGAAACAGCAGAAGCAGGGTCAGAGCAACATTTTGTTGCTGAAATTGAAGGTAGAAGAGGCCAATAGTGAAGGAATGTGGGCTGCCTCTACAAACTGGAAAAGGCACGGGAACAGATTCTCCCCTAGAGCTTCAGAAGAGAATGCAGCCCTGCTAACCTGTGACAGACATTACTGAGGCAAGGGGATTTACAGAACTGTAAGACACAGCAGCAACAGAGACTACGCGTGCTAGCACTGCCTAAAATATTTACGATTTGGCCCTTTACAGAAAAACTTTGCCAACTCCTGGTCTTATGACGTTTATCCCACAAGATTAGATTCTTTGGCCTGTTTTTCCTCAGGAACCTCAATTCTCATATGACTAGCAGTCCAGGGGAGGACAGAGAATATCATCACCATGGCAACTTTTCCCCTAAAGCTAGTCCTGCTTCTACTCAAAAAGATGATCATGACTACCTTTATTCTAGGTCTTTAAAAAATTGTGGCCAGAAGGCAGCATCCATTTGCCGTTCCACCAGAGGATCTTTATTGGCCCCCAAATAAAAAGGCTGAAAAGCATCACTGACTCAACAATAAACTGGCATGGTAACTAAAAGATAGCCACAGACTCTTAACACTTTTCCCATCAAGGAGCAGGGTCTAGTCTCCCGCCCTTGAATCTGGGAGGGCTCCGTACTTGCCCAACAGCTTATGACAGAAATTATGATACACCAACTTTCAAGCCCAGTCCTTAATGGACTGGTGGCTTCAATGTCCTGTCTTTTGGAACATGTGCTCTTAGAACCCAGCTTCCATGCTATAAGGAAGCTCAAGCAGCCCCATGGAGAGGTCTACAGGAAGAGGAGCTGAGGTTCCTAACCAAGCTCCTGGGCAAAAGCTAGAAACAACTTTTCCTACCAGTTTTTACCAGTCATGTGAGCCATCTTCAAGAACCCTCCAGCCCCAGTTAGCCACCTCAGCTGTGA